GGGGGGGGGGGTCAACATTTTTCATGTACACGATGGTTAGATGATAAAAGTGACTGATTCACACCACTGAAAACATTTTGTAATCGAGAATTTATTTTTGTAATCTTTTTAGATGACGAAGGTGCTACTCCAGTGAAACGCCGGCGAGTTAGTAGTGATGAGGAACATATGGTTGATAGCTGTATGACTGATCTTAAAACAGAGCGTGAAGCATCCACCCCCACAAGCACATCTGACAATGAGACAAGAGACTCTTCTATTATTGATCCAGGAACAGAGCAAGATCCACCCTCGCCATTGCCACTGTCTGCTAAAGAATACAGAATAGAAGTGCCGTCATCTCTCACAGAAGACATACTGCCTGCGAGGCCACAGCCAACAGACGAGCAGCCTGGCTGCAGCATGAAGTTCGAAGAGAGCAAAGAAGTAAAAGAGCTCCAGAGCCCAAAGGAGACGAATGTGACGGAGGACGACAATGAGCTCCCTTCCACTTCCATTTCTGCAGTGCTAGCTGACTTAGCAGACTTAAGGAGCTGTGATGGGCAGCCATCGCCCACACAGGACAGCCAGGAGCTCAGCCTGTCATTAAACTGCGAGCATTCCAGGGGACTTTTTAGTCATGTACAACAAAATGACATTTTAGATACCCTGTGCAGGACCATTGAGTCCACCGTTCTTGTGGTCTCAAGGATATCAGGAAAAGAAAACAAAGCTGCTTCTTGACATTAGTTGTAGCACGTCTGCTTTTAAGTCTTTTTTTTTCATATTTTTTTTAAATGCTGTTTGTATACAAGTTTTGCAGTTTCTTTTCTTTTGTTTTTGTTTCAATTTTGTGCTTCGATTTGTCAAGTGCTTTCTGCTTGAATGGCAAGCTAGATTTATATGCTTCATTCTTGTTCAGGCAGAAGTCAAGAAACAAAAGTTGCATCTGCAGTTCACTTTGTAAAGGCCAATCATAATGGTTATGTTTTATGTAATTCAGGTTCGCTGTAGTGGCAATTCATTTAAATGGCCGCTTGGAATAATAGGGGCACGTTACCCCTCCTTGCCCAATATAATGTAATTTAAACTTGTCATTTTTACCGTGTATAATATGGTGTCCTCTGTGCCAGTTTTGTACCTTATAATAGAGGCAGTTGCCTCAATTCGCTGTGGTTCTTATTATCAAAATTAAGTTTACTTGTACTAAACCACAAGAAATTTGATTCTGTAAAGAATCCTCTCTAGCTGTGGCCTGGCAGTATATATGGTGCTTTATTTAACAGAATACCTGTGGAGGAAATAAAGCACACTTGATGTAAAAAAGAAAAAGACAAAAAAAGTAATTGTTTTATTTTATTGACATGATTGATCGCTATTCTGTGCACTTCATTAAACTAATTGTGAAGACTTTTCATTTTTGTGTATATTGGCCTCCTTTTGACATTTTTGTAGACGCACCGCATTCTACTGACCTATTATGTTAAGGTTGTGTTGCGCATGTCTGTGTTTCCCGAAATGTTTGTTTCTCAACGCAAAGATAAAGCAGACACAGAAAACACGAGTTCTACCTTGTTCAGGTTGTTGAAGATATTTTAGGTGAAGTGAAGGAAAAGAAATTGCACATTTGTTTTAAAACAAATATATATAGTTTGTTTAAAAAAAAGATTTGAAAACTTTAGTGAACATTGTTACAAAACTCCCTATTGTATCACTGTTCTGCCATGGTTCGTCCTGGAGAATATAAATATATTAATTAAAAAAAAAGAATATTGTTAAAGTGATATTAAAGACAAATTATTTTTTTTATTTCTCCTTTTAACCCTTTCGCTGCCAAGGACGTACGGCGTACGGAGCTACAAAAGTGCTTCCAGCTGGCCAGCTCAGTATGCCGTACAGTTCTACTATAAGCTGATGGTTATGATATTTAACGATCCCTCTGTGCAGAGCAAACACCGGAGTGATCGTCGGATCACTCCGGTGTTTGTAAATAACTGGGGACACATAGTACTATGTGTCCCCAGTTATGAATGAACAGGCTGCGATCTAAATCACAATTTATGAATGGGGACTAGCACTCACTACAGAGGCTCCTCCCCATTCAGAAACTAATGATAGTTTTTTTTACTATCATTAGTTTGTGAATGAATGAGAAGCCTCTGTACTGAGGCTTCTCATTCATTGAGTGCTGGGGCTGCAGAAAAAGAAATTGAGGACTTATGTCCTCAATTTCTTTTTCTATTTCAAAAGGGAAATGTCAGGGGTCTATTTAGACCCCAGAGATTTCACTGTAGCCCCCCCCAACAGTAAAAAAATAAAAAATTATTTAAAAATAAATAGAAAATGTAAAAAAAATAAATAAAATAAAAAAATGTGTACAAAAAAAATAATAAAAAAACAACCCCTCCCTCCCCCCACATAACATACACATATTGAGGTGTACGCCATGCACATGCGCTGCAGTGCGTTGTTAGAACGCATCGCAGTGCATGATTTTTTTAATGTATTTTTTTCTTTAAAAAAAAATTAAATTAACTGTGGCAGCGCATGGCAAAGCTTTGTGACGCATTGCCATGCGTTGTGATCTTTGTGTTGCAATAAATATACGCCTGTATCATTTTATCACAACACAAACACCAACACAGCGTGAAATTTTTTTTTAACATAAGTTGCTTATTTACAGTTTTGCGTACCGTAATTTTTTTACCTTTTCGCAAAAAGGCGCAATTTCAAATTTGCAAATATTTGTTATTTATTAACTCAATACAGTTTTATCTTTTAGATTTAGTCAGAAAATTATTATTTTTTGTGCGCTGATACTGATTTTAGTGTGTTTTATCAATTGAATTGTGTATTTTTATCGGTTTAATATTAATTTGAGAAACATTTGCGCAATTATCGCACGGCCTACAAATTTAGTATCACCATCTTTTTATTCTACCGGGCCTGCGCTTTCAGAAAATATATGGTTTGGGGGGTCTTTTACAAACGCTAGCAACGCAGCAGTTGAAAATCAAATCAATAGGAAAAAATTGCAGAAAATTCAAAAATGGCTTGGCCAGCTGATTTGAAAAATGTTCCGGAGGGCTTGGCAGCGAAAGGGTTAAGGAGACCCTCCTTTGCTGGAGGATGTTGCTTTTTTTTCTTTTAAAAGTACTTAATTCCTCGTTTTCTAGTGGGTCCCCGCCATGCTCTCCCCCCCCCGCCCCCTGCACGGGTGCCACCATCGTTCTAACCCGGAAGTTCGGGGTACGGAGGATTGCTTTGGGACCAGCGGCGGGGACGAGCGCAGCTGACAGGTAAGTGTGAGGGGGACTGGGGGTAGAAAAAAGGTGCTGGGCTGTTTTTACCCTAATGCAGAGAATGCATTAAGGTAAAAACGCCCAGACGTTAATTCTACTTTAAGTGACCCTGTGATTGAGTCCACAAAATAGTCTTGTTTCCTGACATGGTTGCCATAAGACTTTTTAATGTTGTTGGTGGTTTGTTTTTTTTTAATTCAGATTTTTCCATAAGTTTGCACATTTTTTAAAGTGTAGTAGAACTGACTGATCTTGTTGAGAAACCCAGCAGGTTCTTTGTTTCATCTTCCAGACAGGAAGGACTGCATTTATTTGGTTGCTACTGACAACAATTTAAGTGTCATAAATGGAGATCAACTGTAATGGTTTAATGTTTATATTTCTTTGTATTTTCCAGACCAGCCCTCACTGATCATTTAGAGCTCATTCAGCCGAGCGGATTGTTTTACGCAGGAAGCCTACCACCGTCCCTTCCTATGCAGCCAGATTGGCTTAGCTGTATCAGCATAAAAAAAAGAAACGTGAAAAATCCTATTTTATTTGTCCACCATCTCCACTTGAATGACGATAGAAAAACACTTTTCTCTAGCCTCACGTACCTGGTGATCCTGCCATAAGGGTTTGTGATCAGGCAATTCTGTTACGGGTTGACAACTGCCTGCCAAATGTGCTTCTGTATCGTCACACTGTCCATTGTGCACCTGCTAAAAACTGCAATTGTCCACTGTTGCAATTATCGGAAACCCAGTTCAGAACAATAATGTGCAGTTGATGCTGGAGAGAATGCATGTAGACAGGAACAGACTGAAAGATGGAGATCAGCAGCAAGGAGTAAAAACAATATTCTTGTCTGTCGGGTGGCACAGAGATTCAGATACTATTGGGCTATACTGAAAAAGTTGTAGGGCAGCCCCAGGGTAACCCTTCCTCTACCAAGTTTTGCTAGTGCTGTAGAGTGCCTATTGCAAGGATAGACTCTTCTCTTCAGCTGAGAGGTCTAACCAGTTTTTGTTAGCCATTTTTCTTCAGCTTTGTTTTTTCTTTGTATTCTTCTTTGCCTTCAATCAAGATTCCTCACCAGATCTCTGCTTGAGTAGGTCCCTACATAGCAGCCAATCGGATCTGTCTTTCCTCCAAAGCCAGACTTTGGAGTGTCTTACCCAGACCCTGCTGGACTAGACATGCGGGGCTAGCCTGGAATGTAACCTCTGGGCATTAGTCTCCACATTGTGGCACTTTCTAGACCTTTTATGTACTGGTAAAAGTTATGCTTTTTAGGTCCGGAACAGTTGCATCTCTTCAGTGCTTATCCTGTCTCACCCAATAGAGTAAAGATTCACTCTATTGGGTAAGGCTGCTTGGGCTTAAGCATCGGGAGCTACCTCGTTGTCTTCAGTGTTGTGTTTAAAATGTCCTGCTACTGCTGGTTTTATCGCAGAAATGTTGAGGGACTGCTGAGCACTGATGTCATCCGATGGATGAAGTGTCACGTGTGCTCTGCGCTTTCCCCACAATCAGTGTAGTGGGAACACCATCCTTCTGCTTGCAGAGCACCACTTGGCACTCTGGTTTGTTCCTACTTATTGCCTACAGTGATCTGGTCAGGCCGTCCGAGCCTCATCAGCTCCAGATTCTTGGGTTTGTGAGTACCTGAGACCTTACCTCTCACTTAAGACCTAGTTGCATCACCACCACATGCATGCAACATGTCTGCACATAGACACAGAGTGGACAGTACTGCTGCTACAGATGACAACAGCCCATACTACTCCTGATCATTCCAGGGGGCATCTACTCTGTATCTTTTGAGACAACCAATGCCTGCAATCTGGAAGCTGGTGGCCCTGTAGTTATAGGGTCTATATTAGTGCCTGCAGTCTACTTCAACTCTTGTCAGGTGAGGCCCAGTCCTCTACTATGTTGTCAGGGGGTCTCCATGGCAACCATTCAAGACTGTGAGGCCAAATTCACCCACTTCCTCACAGATACTGACTGCAGAGGCTCTAAGCACTCCTCAGAACCAGCCACTGCAGAGCCTATCACTAACCTGCCTAAAACCGCAGAAAAGGCCAGGCCCCCTTTCACCATCTTTGACTCCGATTCAGTGTCCCAACGGTCATTATGGGGTTCTGCCTTGGAATCCATTGCATACCATCTAGATGCTGCTGTATCTTCATCACTGAGAATGAGTGCAAGTCCTTCCTGCAACAGGGGAAGTAGTCTGATCTCTGTGCTGTAGCCACGAGTCTTCACATTGCTTGCAGGAATTCCCATAAGGGCAATTCCTTGGGAACCAGTTCCTCTTAACTGGTAGCCTCTGGTCATGATTGGGAGCACAGTAGCGTCCTGCTGGAGGTATCCTCTGACAGAAGCAGAGTACGTCTTCATGATTGTGTGTGGCCTGTCCAGCTTGGGATAGGTGTTCCTTTGGCTGATCTGTAGCATCTTGAAGTTTCTTCAGATGCTTTCCCTTAGTACCCCTAAGAGCATTTGGATAATTAAGGGCAGAATAAGTCTTCTGTCTCTTGCTCCATGGCTGTTGACTCTCCTGAATCTGGTGAATCAGGAGCTTTCCTAGTCCTATAGGCAGGCTAGTTCTTCAGCAGGATCCTTCTGGAGTGCCCCCAGAGATAACCCTTGTGTGCTGGAGATGTGTTGGCTTCATCCTCTGTTCTGTTTGGTGGTTTCTATCTCACCAGTCTGCGGCTAAGGTCTAACTT